GACCACGACTATGTGACCCTCTCTTGGCGCCAAAACGAGTGAAAAAATGAACAGCATACGACGACGACGCAGTACCTATAGAGTGGAGCAACTACTTATTCAGTTTTATTCAACTATTTAGTCCCTCCACCGTTACAATGAATGGAGGCGGATATTACAATGTACGTAGCATTGCGAATATAAAATATCTAGATTAGGTATAATAAATTCATAATTCATAGGCCGTTACGGTATCAGAGCCAAAGTCTTCTTTCTTTGTTTATGTACTGTTAGATGCGACAGCGACTTTGTTTTTATATTACTATGTAATGATTGATATACCTAAAATAAATAAAATATCTGAGGTTTGGACAAAAATTCAAAAGGTACTTAATTTTTAAAAAGTATTTTGAAAATACCTATTTTGCATTTAGTATTTGAAATACAAAACACAAAACTATTTTTGTTTTTAGAGTGACATTTCTATGAATTCACTGTCGATAGCGAGCGGTGCGATGGAAAAAGATAACCGTTTATAAAAATATAATAAATAACCCTGGACAATTAACACAGACTGATACTGAACTGATATAAATAGATATTTTTATTTTGTAAATACATATATAATATACATATAAAACACCCAGACCGATGAAAACAATCGATGACCGATGAGTACAATTGTTTGCACCGTGCGAGAAATCGAACCCGCGACCATCGGATGTAAAGCGGTGTGACCACCGAGGCAGTCGAAATATATAAATAATCTTATGAATTTAATTTATTCTAATTTGTTTGTGTGCGCGGGGTGCGGTGTACGGTGCTCCCCCTGCCTCCACCGTTGCTGGAGCTTGCATGTATGGAGCATTGCGAATATAAAATATCTAGATTAGTAAATTCATAATTGATAGACCGTTACGGTATCTATATATATTCGGATTAAAATAAGTATCGCAATAAGGACCAGTATATAAAGTGATCAACACAATTAATTGATTTTTGAAATATATATACAGAGCCAAAAAGTCTTTGTGTATTCAAAAAATATCTAATTTGTTTGTGTGCGCGGGGTGCGGTGTACGGTGCAGGGGGGACCCTGCCTCCACCGTTGCTGGAGCTTGCATGTATGGAGCATTGCGAATATAAAATATCTACATTAGTAAATTAATAAAGTCATAATTGATAGACCGTTACGGTATCTATATATATTCGGATGAAAGTAAGTATCGCAGTAAGGACGAGTATATAAAGTGATCAACATAATTAATTGATTTTTGGAATATATTCAGAGCCAAAAAGTCTTTGTGTATACCAAAAATTTAGCCGTTCGGAGCCATTCAGTCACGAATTATTAGTAAAAAAAGTGTCGAGTATATCGTACTATCGACGAATATATATGGCCGCATCGCAAAATAGAATGCGACGTTGCCATACCGCCTGAGATATACGCGATAGAGGTCAAGTTATTCAGTGCAAAAGGTGGAATCGGCAAGTGTTTAGGTTGTGGCGTGATCAACAAAGTGCCCAAAGAGGTGTTTATATATATATATATATATATATATATATATAAACGTACAAACATACTTCTAAAATTATATAATTACATAAATAACGAAATATATAAGCTTAAGAATTATTATACAAATTAAATATAATATTAAACTATAATAAATATACAATACACATGATTTCATAACATATATCTTCAGACAGACATATGCCTGAATCCTTTTTATTCGACAGTAATTATCTTATTGTATCGTATGGACAAACTGGAAGCTTTTGAAATGTGGTGTTGGAGAAGGCTGGGAAGAATTAGCTGAATAAAGATAAAATGAAGAAGTACTCCAAAGGGTTAAAGAAAAAAGACAGATCATAAATACTATTAAGAATAGACGGGGGAAAATGTTGGGGTACTTGATACGGCACGACAAACTTATTAAATTATTTATTTAATTAATTAACACAATATAAACTTGTAGCTAATTGCCAACACGTTTATATTTTAAAACTATTATACTTTACTATATATACTACTTGAACTATACAATGAAAAAAATATTCCTATTTTATTTATTATGGAAGGCAAGGTTTCTTTGTATACGTCAGCATTTTGGAGTTTAAATAAAAATTAATTTAATAATTATAATGCTCTCATAGTGGGATAATTATTATCGTAGCTTGTGAGTACCGCAGTTGCAAATAGTCGGACACGATGACGTGTGACACTTCTCACGTAATTCTGTGGAATATTAAATACTATACGTTCTATAACTACGGGATTATCTATTCGGTTGATAATAATATGATTTTGATAATAATATTATCGAAAAAAATATAGATGGAAAGAGAGGAAGGGTAAGACAAAGACACAGCTATATCAAGCAGGTTAAGGAAAAACTTGGAGTCGTGTTATATCAACGACTAAAAATATTGATGGAATATGTGGGAAATGGCAAGAGATCCACCGACAAGAGCTTTTAGTGGCTAAGATGGGGCCGCTATTATTTGTGTTTGTAATGTTCTCTGTAGCAGCAGCAGGAAAGAAAGAGGTGAATAGAAACCAGTCGTGACTATTTACATATGAATATATATATATGAATATAGAAGTATTTACAATTAATATATGTACAAGAAGGCAATTCGGTCTGGAATGACAACTTGTTATTTCCTGCCTCATCGTAACTAGGCGACGGTGTTGCCGCACGATGATAGTAAATTCGCCACAAGCTCTGCATCATTTCACAGTATAAAAGAAAGTCGCTGTCGCTGTCTGTCCGTCACTATGTATGCTTAAATCTTTAAAACTAAGCATCGGATTTTGAAGCGGTTTTTTTTAATAGATAGAGTGATTCAAGAGGAAGGTTTATATATATAATATATGTATACCCGTGCGAAACCGGGGCGAATAGCTAGTAATTTATAAATGAATGGATTTTATTGTTAAAAAAAATGTTCAATTAATCTTCCCTTTACCACACTATAATTAACATAAATTTAATTAAACCATGCTTAATTATATAACATGCTCTATAGGTGTTATAGGTCGAGATGACCACGATTACAATCGCCAGTCGCAGGTTCGATGTCCGTTCCGGTCCGGCGGCGTGCGTCGCGTGTGAACGGGCCTTTATCGTTTGATTTTTTAAAGCCGAGTGTAGACTTTTAGTTTTTTATTGTTTTGAAATTTATAGCTCACTTATACGCCCCGATTTCGCACGGGTAGTAATTTTGTATCTCGAATTACTTGACCAGTATAGACTTTGTCAAATTCGTCTGCATAGGTAACTCAGTCTCAGCGGGGGATTGTAGTAATGTGGATTGATGATCTTACTACTGCAATGTACCATGTCAGGTTGACCTCCACGCGGTTCCCCCTGAAAACCATCGTGATAAATTCTTAGTGAATTTGTCACGATGGGCAAACTGACCTGACCTCATGCTCATATTATCATCCTCCACTGGACCCACTGGTGCCCACCATTCCATTATCATCCATAAAAAAAACTCAGTCTCAGCTATTTCATCCGCCAAGCAATTTTCTTTAAACAGTACCGGTAGAGAATAAATATTAATACAAAAACTTGACATTCATATACGACCTACAGACAGACAAAGTGTTGTTGTATTTGTTGATAGTTAGATATACGAACATACGGGTGATACCAAGCTTTTGAAATATCTGGAATATGAATGACGGCTCCATACCCACTTTGTGCAAGGCGAACACTGCAATCTTATTTTCTTTAACACCCCATCCCACATTTTAATTTGATAATGAACACGAAAAATATATGAAAAGTCGCAAAATCGAAATAAGTTTTTAAAATAATATACATGTTCGAAATTTGAAATAATTAAAAAGTAGAAAAAAAAAATTATGTAACTGTATTTATGTCCAGACTAGTTATATGAATAAAGCTGCACCCGGAAATTAACTTTATTTCTCGAAAATAAAAGATTTTTAAAATAAAAGCAGCCTAAGTTTCTCCTTATTACATCAGCTACCTGCCAAAAAAAGTCCCATCGGAAACTGTCCAGCCATTTGAGAGATTAACCGAAACAAACAGGCAGACAGACAAAAATTGTAAAAAATGTTATTTTAGTGTATGTACCGTATTTATATTCATATGCGTGTAGTAAACAACGGTTATTTCAATATTACCAAACAGACACTCTATTTTATTTATATGTATAGATTAGTTTTGATTTGATATTATTTAAACCCTAGTTTTATGAGGTAACCCGGTTTAAATAAAATCAAACCAAAACTCATTACTAACCACCATTCCCATTGTTTAAGTAATTAGTTTTTAAAATTTGTAGATAATCCAGACATTGCAATACTTGTGTAGTCTGTTAAAACCTAATAAACTCGTTTCAAACATACTGACCTCTGTGGTACATGACGCACAGCTTACATCATCATCGTATCTGCAAGGTCCCATGTCGTTCAACGAATGTGAGAATTGTCGAATCATTTCGAAGGTAACAACAATACAGTGACGGCCTCGGTGATCTAGTGGTTTAGCACCTACTTCGTAATGTCGCGGGTTCGGTTCCTAACACGATGCAATCATTATTTAATATTCGTCAAATAAATAATACTTATATATAATTGGCAGCCTCAGAGGTGTATGGTTTAGCACACCGCTTCACATCCGATGGTCGCGGGTTCGATTCCTCGCACGGCACAAACATTTGCATTCATGTGTATGATTTTTGTATCGGTCAGGGTGTTTTCTATGTATATTACGTATGCATTTACAAAAAAAAATATCTATGTATAATATTTGTATCAGTTATCCAGTACTCATAACACAAGCTCAGCTTAACTTGGGACTAGATGGCGCTGTGTAAATTGTGCAAGGATATTGTATTGTATAATGACAGCCTCGGTAGTCCAGCAGTTTAGCGCACTACCTCCGATGGTTTCGGATTCCATTCCTCGCACAGTAATCAGACTATATGTTTTTTCAGTTTTGAGAATTGTTTGTAAAATTTCAATTCTATTGTTACAGGTTCAGAGTCTCAAATCGAATGCACGCCTGAGGTCATGAGGGTGACCGTGCCAATGGACGGCGACAGACAAATTTCTTACTTAGATCAATTGAAAGGTAAGTTATATTTATATCAGCCATATAAGTTATATTTATAAGGGCAGAGGAAGGCCGAGATGGATGGACTGTGTGAAAGATGATATGGTAAGAAAGGAAGTAAATAACGAGATGACTGCGAACAGGCATGAATGGTAGCGAAAAACATATTACGACGACCACAAATAAATGGGATAAGGAAGAAGCAGATGATGATGATCAATTGAAAGGTAAATTATTTATATACCTTCACGACTATAAACCTAGCGGGGGCAGTTAGAGGCATTGTGCACAATAGATTTATATAGGTCGCAGTGCTACAGGTCCGTGCACTTGACAATAGCCCAAACGACCCAATAAAAAAAATAGAGGCATTGTAAATGGCTGATATAAATAAAGCAGATACATCAGCATCATTACATAGTATAAAACAAAGTCTCTGTCGCTGACTGTCCGTCTCTAGGTATGCTTAAATCTTTAAAACTACGCAACGGATTTTGAAGCGGTTTTTTTAATAGATAAGAGTTATTCAAGGGGAAGGTTTATATATACGAGTATAATATATATACACCCATGCGAAGCCGGGGCGAGTAGCTAGTCATTACATAGTATAAAACAAAGTCGCTGTCACTGCCTGTCTGTCGCTATGTATGATTAAATCTTTAAAACTGCGCAACGGATTTTGAAGCGGTTTTTTTTATAGATAGAGTGATTCAAAAGGAAGGTTTATATATATAATACATGTACACCCGTGTGAAGCCGAGGCGAGTAGCTAGTATAGTATAAAACAAAGTCGATGTTGCTGTCTGTCCGTATGTATGCTTAAATCTTTAAAACTAAGCAACGGATTTTGAAGCGGTTTTGTTAATAGATAGAGTGCACGTTTTAATGTACACCCGTGCAATGCCGGGGCGAGTAGCTAGTCTTTGAGATAAATTATAAAAAGTTGCCTGCGCGGATACCTTAGTCCCACCTACTAGAACTCACTGCTATTCTCCTTCACAATTCAAAATATCTTTATTCATGTAAATCTATAATACAGACTCTATATGTCAAAATCTACCGTCAGTACGGAGTGCATTTGAGCGAAGAAGATTGAGCTAAGAGATGACAGTATTCACTCATTATAATATTTAAATTACAATATGTAATTAATAAATTTATAATCTTGTTACTATATTAAAATAGCACCAAGAATAGGCTCAAATAATTCCAGAACAGGGATGTTATGGATATGAAATTTTGGATACGGATAGGTTTCGGATATAGGAATGATTATTATACCGGATACGGATGCGGATATGAAATTATTTCGGATCATCCGTTAGATTCGGATAATTTCGGTTACGGATATAATTTTTTTATAGAATTTCAAAAGTAAAATACAAATATCTAATAAAATGGGTACATATCGTGTCTCAATTAGGCTCCGACCCTATCCGATATTATCCGAAACTTTTATTTCGCATTTGGTTACAGTTACGAATATTTTTTATATCGGATATCCGATAGTTTTGGTTACAGTTACGAAGCTCCCTAACATCCCTCTAGAATAACATTTGGTATCTTATTGTAACATTTTATAGAAATAGAAATAATCTTTACTCGAATAAACTCAGTACAAGCACTTTTGAATAGTCATATTTTTGACTCTACCACTCATTCGGAACGCAAATTCATCACCTAAATGAATGTTTTTTAATATTTTTAAATTAATAATAATGAATAAATAAATTTTATTTCATCTCCACAAATTATATAATTCCAGTTTTATTATATAAATGCTAACAAATAAAAATCACAAATATAATTTGTGGGAAATCTGGAGCCCAAACTAAGCTATATCCCGTACCTTAGACACCAGGTCTCCCCTTCATATAAATTAGTTATACATCTAGTTTTAAGTTTAAACGTGGAGTGCATATATAAAAGACCTATTGATAGTTTTCATATAACTGAAGGTTTAAAACATACTTAGAAACCTCCAGACCGATACAAACAAGCGTACCCATGAAACGTGCGTGGAGTCGAATCCGCAACCAACAGATGTATGGGGTATAACCACTAAACCAACGAGGCCGTAAGAACATAACGTTTAACGGATTCACTTATTTAAAACACGTGCTATTTATTACAATGCACGGTCTCGAAACTGCGACCGAGTAACTTAAAACGGGACGATCTACATACTTAACTCAGTTAGGGTTGTCAATAAATCGGCTTACGGCCTCGATGGTCTAGCGGTTTAGCACACCGCTGATTCTCATGGTCTCGGGTTCGATTCCTCGCACGCTATAAACATTTGTCTTATAAATTATTTTGACTTTGAACATTGAAATCGAACATAAAAAAACTGAAGAATACACCTACTGCAATAAGACATAGGCCACAAGGATGTCCCCACAAAGAACGCAACAGATATTATAAAAAAAAGTTGAAATTTTTTTAAAAGGTTGGGAAATATCCGTCGATTATTAATTAAAAGAGAATATTTATTTAAAAGAGCAACACTCAAGTTTCTTGCTTATTTTTCTTGTGATAAATCTGCATTCCGTATAAGCGGTAGAATAAAAAAACTTGACTATTCAAAAGTGCTTATATTAAGTTTATTTGAATAAAGATTATTTCTATTTCTAAAAAATATTAAAAGCCCGTCGATAGATCCGTCGTTTCGCCGTCTAATTCAAACGTGGATTATGGCCTGAGCCATGTTTCGGGCCACTAGCGGTGCCCTTATACTAAGTAAAGTCATATCCGTTAGACGAAGTTGGCCTTCAGCCGCTTCATAAGTCTGTCCTTGGGGGAGAAAGAGGATTGTTAGTAATGTGGATGATCTTATTGCTAGCAATGTACCATATCAGGTTGACCTCCACGCGGTCCCCCTGGAAACCATCGTGATAAATTCTTGGTGAATTTTTCACGATGGGCTATCTGACCTGACCTCATGCTCATCTTATCATCCTCCACTGGTGTCCCGCCAGCTTAAACCGTTAGCGCAGGCGGGAGCCCCAATTCATTATCATCCATAAAAAAAAAAGTCCGTTTTGGTTTAAAGTGACATCTGCACACGCCCCCTATCGTCCAAGCTGTGAAGGCCAGCTGCGGCCAACAGCATTAATAGTAGTCCGAAAAAAATAGGTTGTTTAAAAATATTACATCCCTGTTGTATGGCAGCTGACAAACATGAAGTTACAACCCTAATCGCTAATTGCATGTGAGCGGTCTCATTTGCTAATCTGCCACTTTAGCGCAGATTGACAACGGTAATCCTTCTCGTTAACAATGTCATTATATACTTGCGAATTTATACAATGCACTATTAAAACTGTACTTGAAAATTATAATAATAGTTTGCACACTAAACTAATTATATTTGCATACATTGCATTGAGATGTTATCATTGACAGGAAAAAAAATAATTTAAATTAAAAAAAAAAGTTTAAAAAAAAAGTAAAGTAATAATAAATCTATTGGTATTTTTTTTTATTATAGAATAAAGATATTATAAATATACCTGAATTTGTATCTGTTTCTTATTTCGAACGCTATATTATCTATATGCATAGTACAAATAAATAGGTTGTATCACCGGCTAGATTACTAGAGGAAAGAGCCTTCCACCATACTGGCCACTAATAAAAAATATAAGATACCCAAATTTTGAAAAAAGAATTCAGTTGAGAATTGGAACTGTTATAAGGGGGACCCACAATACTGGCCACTAATAAAAAAAGTAAAATAAGTAAATTTTGAAAAAAAAACAAACCAACAAACAAAAATAAAACCAAAACAAACAAAAAACAAAACCAAAACAAAGGGGGACGCTGCGAATGTGCTATTAAAGACTAAAATATTTAAATAAAATTACAAACAATTGCAATTCAATAAAAGAAATCATTATTTTTCAACATAACGCATTATTATCTAGTCTAGAGTATCTGGCCATTAAACTATAGACTACACGTCTGGACATTTCAGAGCAAATATGAAAAAGTTTGCTACATTTGTGATGATCAGTGTTGAAGACGTTCTTCCTAGACGAAATCGTATATGTCCTTCCTTCAACAATTTTTTTTATATAATATATGGACGATTACATTGTTCCACCACCCTTTGTTGCCTCTTTTTCTTGTTCATTGTTGTATGTTTATACATATTCATATATTTCTACATAATTTGTATGTAAATCTTTGTTTTTTTCTCCGTGCAGAGAACAATAAAGATTTTTTGAATAAAATATTTTTCTTTCTTTGTTTCATTCAATTTCATTCATTTCTCAAAACTAGTCAAATCTCACTTTCTCTCTAATTAAAAATATTTCTTTAATGGTTTGTTTCGTGATACATGTTTTTTTTTATATATTTTATTTATGTATGTGTATCTTATTTATATATATATACCGTTAGTATTTGTAGGTATATGTATTTAGTATTCATAATATTGAACTCCCTTTTCATAGTGCGCCACCTACCTTCCCTCACCCAATACTTTTATCTCCCAGGTTGTCTGTAAGAGATCACTTTGAGCGATAAGGCCGAATTCTGTTCGCATATTTTTCTTTCTTTCTTTTTTGTAATTATCTGTTCTTTTTTTTATGTACAATGAGCTTTTATTATTGTTGTTATATTTATTATTGTTGTTGTTCACTTCATTTCACTCCTTTTTTTTCTTAGTACTGATTCGTAAACCAACATTATCTGTTTGATACGATTTTTCAAATTTGGCATATACATATGTCATTTAATATTATCCCATTTAATTAATCATTATTTTACGCGCAAGTTTTTGGACGTTCTTTTCCGAAGTTGTTTCATCAAAATCCGTTCAGTAGTTTTTGCGTGAAAGAATAACAAACATCCATCCATACTCACAAACTTTTTATAATATTAATAAAATATTATTCGATTTAATTAAGAATTTATTACTTTACACGCGAGTTTCTTGCACTTTCTTCTTGTGATGATACAGCTTTCAGAATGAGCGGTAGATTAAACATATGACTATTCAAAAGTGCTTAAAA